TTGCTAAACAGTGTAGTGATATCTTCTAATTGTGTGCACCTGTTGTATACTGAAAGCTACCTTGTTGAAGTATATTTGTTGTAATCTATCGAACAACACACAAAATGAGCATGGTAACATGATAATACCACTGGGTATTGATTCGATAAAAAACAAACAGTTAATACCTTCGAAATAATAAAAGCAGTTGACAGCTGTTGTGCAGAAACAATAAAGCTTGATCTTCCTGTAAAATGTAGCTCTGTTGATGTATTTGTAGAAGTACACTTTCTATTGTATGCATATTTGTATCCTACAATGTATCCATATGTGTAGAGTAAAGTGAGGATATCTTTCTGTTTTTTGCATCTTTTGGAAATAGAGATCTTCCCTGTTAAAAAATCCATGTTGTATTTGTTGAAAAAACTGAGTAACAGTAGTAACAGAAGCAGAAGAGATACATCAACATCTTCAAACAACCCTGTAGCTGCCTCAAGAGTGTGAACTTATATCCAGATCCTGCAAAATGTAACAAACAAGTTAGGGGAAAAAGTTCTTCTTCCAGTATCTTGTGTGTTCTGGGAGTAGTGAGACTAGGATGGGTGGTCGTGATGGATGAATAAGAGTTCTGTCTTTTGGGAGTAGCTAATGATATTTGGTTGTGACTGGTTTTTCTGTAATCTGCAATTAACACCACCATAGATAGAAATTCCACAACTCTAAAATCAAATGTGTTGTGCTGTAGCTTTAATGTTCCATATTGCTGTGAATGCCCTGTTCTCCAACAGCTCCTGCTCAGGTCCAGCTTGATATTTCTGAGGATGAATGAATACTTATGTATTCTTGCTGGAGAAAACATAAGTTGTAGCACAATGGCAATTGGATCCAATCCGAGTCTATGTCTAGATCCTGAAACATGAAGCAAACAAGTTAAAAGGAAAGATTGTACTCCAAGGTTCTTGTTTTTTTGGAAGTAGTGAAGTATATTAGGTTCTGAGTGTTGTGGAAGTTCAGTGGATGTTGCTCTATTGGTATTTTGTTGTTATATGTCATCAATCCCTACCCAGACTGAGCATGATGTCCTACTAATACTACTTGTAAGTAGTAATCTCATACACATCCATTTAGAGCCTCCCAAGCCACAACATTAAGAGTTAGCGTGTACAAGTGTTGCTTGGTTGTCATGTTGATGGACATGAAAGTGATGCAGTCCCAGCAGGAACCTTGCAGTAATTCCCAAACCACATGATAAGTAGTCTAGTTGTACATGTATAGCTTGGTTGTCATGTTTAAGGGCATGCAAGTGAGGTAATCACAACAGCTCTGGGGAAGCAGTAACCAAACACATGTGTAACATCTTCCTTTTATTATGTTATCATAACCCTCACAGATAGAGTAGTCCATGGGATCCATTGCAAGCAGATGCATAAATAAAGTTAAATTATCTCTGGAACCTGCAAAAAATAGCAAACATATTAGAAGGATAATTTCAGCTACCAACTTCTTGGTTGTTCTAGAAGTAGTGTATAATAATGGGTTTTGATTGTTGCAGGCTTGTTGTTGCTGTTGTCTTGTTGGTATGTTGTTGTTGTTGTATGTCATCAAACTATCCCTAGAAAGAGTGTAAAGCCATGCTAACACCACTGTGAGGTAATTGGGTTCCACACAAACATGAACTGCCTCCAAAACCTCTAGCATCAATAGTCCAGTTGATCAGTAGCCAAGATCCATTTTTTTGCATAATCAGCTACAATCAACCATACATTGCTTGTTCTATTCCTCATGATATATCTGGACAGTATCATCCTATTTACTGATGAAACAGCCACCGAATGATTCCAGGTGCTGTAATCATTGTAAGAAAGCTTTGATTTCCACCATGAATAATTCATTGTTTTTGCAGAGATATTCATAGAGCATTGAAAGTTCCAGTCTTTATAGATCCTTGCAGTTGTTTGAAAAACTATTTCCCTCAAGAATTTGACCAGCATCATCTTAAAAGTTGTTGTTCTATTCCCTGAATATGGTAATTTGTTTTTGTAAAGCAGCCAGATAGGCCCAAGACACATCAGTGTGGGTCTCAACCATGCCAATGTGCATTGAATATCAACTGTTTGTCCAAACTATGTCCAAACTTCTACTCTGTTGCTGCATTTGAATGTCAACATCAATTTCTTATGCGTGTGGATGTGTAACAGATTATTGATATGATATCTGAAGTAAAATCTGTCTGTAATCATGTTATGTATCGTTATAATTTTGTCGACCATGGAAAGTATTTATGTTTGTTGCGACCCGAATCCTTAGATTAGGTATTTGACTCTTGTATTGATTAATCAACATCTTTCCAGCAGTAGGAAATTCATTGAATGATTGGAATTATAATGAACTTGCAAAAGAGAAACTGAGATTAGCTAGAAAATCAGCCACAGAGTTTCCCTCCCTAAGGACATGCTGAAAAAAGCACGTTGAATTGCCCCTTCATTTCCTTAATCTTTTTCACTTCTTTGCTGATGCACCAGGACACCTCCCATTCTCCTTCAATGGTTTTCTTCATAACCATCGAGTCAGTCTCAATGATTAGAGGATGGAGATTCATTTGAATACAATAAGAAAGTCCTTCCACTATTGCCCTCGCCTCCGCGACCATGTTGGTTGTATTCCCTATCTGTTCTGCCTTTGCAAAAATTACATCTCCAACATGATTCCTTACACAAAAACCATATGAGCTTGGTCCTGGATTCCCTATAGAAGCACCATCAGTGTTTCACTTGAACCATCTCTTAGAAGGAAACTGCCAGGTAACTCTTTTTGTGATAACTACTGGTTTGTAAGATTCAAAGAAGCTAATCTTATCTGGCCAAAGAAGAGGTATATTTCCTAGCCAAGCAAACCTTATCTTAGCTAGTTGATGAAGAGTATTGTTAACCTCATATACCACCTTTTGACCGAAATTGTTCTGCCTCCATGCTTCATAGCGTTCCTCCTCTTCCAAATTTCCCAAGATATAATTGCTGGTGCAGCCTGGAAGAGTTGCTTAAGTTTTGAGCAGCATATAGCATTCCGCCAAGCTCTAATGACCTGGTGTATCTGTATCATGTTGTCCACGATTCTAGCAGCCTATAAAAAATACTTCCACACTTGTGAGGCAGTTGTGCTCGTAAGAAAAATATGTTGTAATATTTCTTCCTGTAGTGGAAAGCAACACCAACATTTTGAAATAATTTGATATCCATTTCTCCTCCATAAGTCATCTGTTGGCACCTTGCCTCTCCATAATCTCCATATGAAAAAAGAAATTTTGAAGGGTAATCTTTTTGTCCATATTGAATTTTGTTCTAGATTTGCTGGTTCTCTATGCCTCAATATGTGCCATGCACTCCCAACTATAAATTTACTCGATGGCATTGGCATCCATATAGGTGTGTCCCAGCAGTCATCTATATTTTCAAAGTGTACCTCTTGCTTGATGTGGTCGGCTATATCCGCTGGTAATGTTTGATCTAGCAGCTGATCATCCCAACCATTATCTATTCCTAATTCTGACACGTCTTGTAATTCTTCGTTGATGTCGAACAGTGGTGGTACCTGATGATATAGAGCTCCAATTCCAGTCCAATTTTCGTGCCAAACATTTGTTGAGCCCCTATTTAATTGCCACAGGATTTTATGCTCGACCTCATCTCTTGCTTGTAATATTTTTCTCTAAACATGTGATCCCTGCCTGAATTGCACGACAATAGGAATTTCCTTCTTGCAATATTTATTCCACATGAAATTTGACCATAATGACTTTGATGTTCTAAATTTCCACCACAACTTTGCGAACAGTGACTTTGAGATGTCAAACAGTGATCTGAAACCCAATCCTCCTTCTTCTGTAGGGAGACACAAGTTTAGCCTTTGTCATTGGAACTCCAAAAGAATCAAGCAAACATCTTGTGTAAGTGTTCGATAACATTGTCTGGAGGGTCCAACACTGAAAGTATGTGTGTAGGTAAACTCTGAAGCACGCTGGTAATAAGTGTTGCTTTGCCTCCGAAAGACAATAGTTTCCCCTTGTAAGAGTGTAGTTTTGCCTTCACCTTCTTAGTGAGATCATTGTAGTAATCCTTCCTTCTCCTTATGTAAAACATTGGACAACCTAGGTAAGTGAACGTGAATGCTCCTTTTTGGAAGCCAGTGATTGAACCAACTAAGTCAGGCAAATTTCTTGACACCTTTGTATGCATGTAGTAAGAGCTCTTTGATTTATTGATCTGCTGTCTAGAAATCTGTTCATAGTTTGTGAGCACGTCAACTACTTTCTTCAGAGAGTAAGGATCAGTAGATGAAAAGATTATAGTGTCATCTCCATAAGCCAAATGGTTTAGTGGATCTGTCCATTTGGGCATTCCAAATCCTTTGAATTTCTTATCTAAGAATAGATTGTTCAGTGATCTGGATAGTACTTCCGCAGACAGAATGAACAATGCAGGAGAAAGGGGGTCACCTTGTTTCACCCCTCTGCTGGATTTGAAGAACCCTGATGCTTGGCCATTGCTAAGACATGAGTACCAGTTGTTGACTAATATGTTCCCTATCATGTTGATGAAATGCTCAGCAAAGCCCATCTTCCTCAAAAAATGTAGAAGATATTTCCAAGCAACCCTGTCGTAAGCCTTCGCCTTATCAAGATTGATTATGACATTGGCCGGTTTCCCTCTCAACCCTATGTCGATGATTATTTCTTGTGTAAGCAAAACATTTTCAAAAATACTCCTTCCTTTAACAAAGCCAGATTGGTTGGGCGAAATCAACGAGGGAAGTATCTTCTCCATTCTATCATGTAATACCCTTGATATTACCTTGTTGATGAAATTGCTTAGACTTATTGGTCATAAGTCTGAGAATGTTTGAAATTGAGGTTTCTTAGGCAGTAGAACAAGATTAGTGTGTTTTATGGATTTTGGGAGTGGTTCTCCACCATAGAACTCTTGAAGCAGCATGTAGATATCTTCCCCCACAATGTCCCAGCATGTTTAGTAGAACAAGCCAGTGAAACCATCTGGTCTACTTGCACTATCCCTAGACAGAGCAAAAATCGCATCCTTCACTTCATCGATTGTAGGATATTTACATAACTCCAAATTATATTCAAGTGTCACCATAGTAGGTACATTGTTAAGCATTTCATCGTTAGTGGTATTCCATGTTTGTGTAAACTGGTTGCTGAAGAACTCCAGCGCAGCATTTGCCATAAGTTCCTGTCTTTCAAGCCAATACCCATCTGTGCCCTGTATCCTTTTGAGGTTCAATTTCCGCCTCTTGCCATTTGCGTAGTTGTGAAAGAATCTTGTGTTTCTATCACCTTCAGCAAACCAGTTTATTCCTGCCTTTTGCTTCTAGTATTGTTCTTCAATGCTCAGGTATTCTTTCAATTCTGCTTGTGCTTGTTGAAGTACAATTCTATTTGCTATAGTTGGTTCGTCCTCAAATAGTATCTCCTTTACTCTGACAATATCCTCCCTAATATCTACTTTCTTGAAGATATCTCCAAAAGTAACTTTACTCCAGTGTGAAAGGGCAATTTTCACTCTCTTCAATTTCTGTTTGAACATCAAGAAAGGATCCCCAATAAAATCTGCCAACCAGTTTTGTTTGTCTACCTGTTTGAAAGTGTCATGCTTTGTCCATAAATTGAGGAACTTAAAAGGTTTAACAAACTGCATAGATTCCTGCCCACAGCTCATCAGCAAAGGTGCATGATCAGATCCTGTCTGTATCAGGTGTTCTACTTCTACATTTGGGAAGATATTCTGGAAAGGTAGATTGACAAAGATCCTATCAAGTCGTTTGAAGATGCATTGTTCATTTGGACTACCATTCCACCAAGTGAAAGGGTTGGCCTTGTAATCAAGGTCAAACAAACCACAAGAGTTTATACAGAAGGCAGAGTCTTCATATTCAGGCGGGTGCACTGGTAGTCTTCCTATCTTTTCATGTTCATATAAGATCACATTGAAATCACTGCCAACGAGCCAAGGCATATCCATGTCACTGGCCAAGTAATATAAGTAGTCCCACAGTTCTAGCCTTTCAAGTGAAGAACATTTGGCGTTCACAAAAGTCATGATGATATGTCTTGATATTTCCTGATGAAATACTTTAATAGTAACCTGCTGCTCAGTGTCCATAATCAATTCCCATTCCACACCAGTTTCAATGAATATCCAAATTGTTCTATTGATGTTCGACATAACAGTTTCCATTCCAAGTTTCCTTTTGTAGGTTTAAATGTGCCTACAGTTCTAGAAAGGTTCCATAAGGCTATAATTGAAAATCTATGTTGTCTCTGCATATTGATCACTCTCTGAAAGGCCTGCTGTGTGTTAACAGACCTTATGTTCCAAATGAGAGACTTTATCATCATTTAGTTTGTGAGGCTGCCCTATTAGGCAAGATTCTTTTTGGTGGTTGAGTTGCTTTAGCATGTGCTTGTTTCTTGCCCTTCTTTCCATTTCTCGATGTGATCCTAGGTGACAAATCTCCGTCTCGTGCAATAGCCTTGAAGTTTCCAGCAGTAGATTCATCATCACCTTCATCTTCTAGTTGTTATTTTTCTACTAAGGCATGTTGAACCTCCGGTGGAAGCTCTTTATGGGTAATGATGTCATGTAGTACCTGATTTGGAGATATTAAAGGGACATTGAGTTGTATCTGGATTAGGGATCCAGTTGTTGACGCACAAGCAATGGGACCAATACTAGTTGCTGCTAGTTCCACATTAACTATTGCAAGTCCCATGTGATCAATCGCCATGTTATTTTCCTGACCAGCAACAGTTTGTGACCTCACTGTATTTGTTGAAGTCTCTATGTCAATATCAACACCTTGCTCCATAATTGTAACTCCAACCAGAGTTCCTGCAGTATTAAAACTAAGCTGCCCTATATCACTATTGCGTACTTCATTTGTGTGAGGTTTTCTGTGTGCTTGCTTTAGCACTGTACCAACCAGAGTTCCTGTAGTGTTAGAATTAAGCTGCCCTATATCACTATTGAGTACTTCATTTGTGTGAGGTTTTCTGTGTGCTTGCTCTAGCACTGTATTGTTTGTTTGAGCTTCAATTGCTATAGCTTGTTTTGGTTCTGAATTGTAATCAATCTCCTGGATTTCATCACTCTAGATTTGTGTAGCAATTGTGGTGGAATTAGGCGATGACACAAAAGTCTGCGATGGTATGTCATGTCATGATTGGTTTAGAGTAACATTCATGACTTCTTTGTGTTTGCCAAAACTTCTTTGAACCCAGTCTATTATGTTCTCCTCTATTGTTGTACCTTTTGTCCCAGTATCTTTAATAGCATTGTGATTGTCAGTACTTCTGACCTACTGATCCTTCTGATTAACATGAGCAACTGTTGTATCAATCTGTTTTTTTGGAAAGTATGTTTTCACCTAATTCTAATGTTTGCTGCCTTTGATGTTGATCTTTCTTATTGTTTTCCTATTTTGCATTGGAACCAAGGATCCCAGAAGATTCAAGTTCAGCTGCTGTTAAGGTATTTTTGGTGTTACCTTTCAACTGAACTGAATCGTGAACTGCCTGAGGAGCAGCTATTCCATTAGGATTCCCTGTCTCATTAGGTAGCTCCTGGACAATCCCCTTTCCTCCATTCCAAACAGCATTACTATCAGCAATATTATGAATTCCTTCTTGAACAAACTCCAGTGTCATTAATGTAGCTGGTTGTAATTTGCTCATTATAATTGATGTCTGGGCTAGTTTGGGAACCTGTGATCCAAGTTCATGTTCATGTGGTTGTTGTGGTGGGAGCTTGCTAGAGGGCATACCTGACTGATTGGTGGTTTTTTGGTGCATTCTCTTTTTGTGAATGCTGTAGTAGTTGAACCTTTGGTGTTTTAGCAATGTATAAAGGCTGATGTTTCCTGCTGTTATTCTGTACAATTCCTTTGAATTTCTTGTTTTTCTGTGTTTGACATTCCTCTTGTGAATGATTTATCTCTTTGTTCTGATCTTCTTCCCTGGAAGGTGATGTATTTATTTTTTGGCTGCTCTGAGGTTGGTGGTGAAGTGCCTGTCTTTGCTGAACTGTAAAATGCTGCTGTTGTACACTTGAATTAACCATCTGTTGCTGGGCTGGTTCTGCATTGGATATTCCAGTGGCTTTCATTTTCTGCTTCTCATCATGTTTGGCTTTATCTGGGCATGCATGGATTGTGTGTTCTAGGTGTCTACAATAGGTGCGGTGTTCAGGCAGGCTCTCATATTGTATTTCCAGCCATTGTCCATCACTATTTTCATCTTGGTTTTCATCATAACCTAGCCAAACATGTTGAGGCCTTTTCTTAGTTAATTCAATCTGCATTTTCACCTTAGCAACACTGCCTTTTGTTTTTTGGAATGAATCTAGATCAAGGAATAATGCTTTTTCCACATGAGACAACAATGGTTTGAGGATTTTCATGTAGTAAAGGTGCCAAGGCATTTCAGGGATGATAATCCAAACCGGTACTATCGGAGAATCTTCATTAGGATTGAAAAGAGGTATCCAAGCTTCAAGTTTCATCATTTGGCCTTGAATGTACATGAATTATTTATTCCACACTGTCGCATGATCATATTCATTGTCTAGATCAATGTAGACAGTCTTAGAATTGAAATGAGCAATCTTAACTCCAACCCTGAGTTCAGTTGGAGTCACGAAGATTCTTCTAATTACTTCCATTCTAGGCATAGTTCTACCAAATTTCCCAACCACAGTGTTCTTACATCTTGCTGCCATAGTGCCCATATAATCCTCTTTGTAAAAACAACTGCAGGCCTGCTTTGTTTGGTTGTTAACTTTGGTGGGGTGAACTGAATAGGAGTTCTCTCTGCTTCGAATTTGGCTCTGATTTTTGTGGCATAAGAGTGGGTGATTGTATGGGGGGGGGGGGGGGGGGGGAGGTTCAGTTGTGTTTGTGAGTTTTTGGAGTTATTCCTTGGTTACTACTGGAAACTGTGGGTTGATGTTAACTATATTGTGTAATGTGCTAGAATATGGAATTTGTGATGATTGGCTTGCTTGATTAGTTCTTCTGTTAGGTCTTTCAAAGTTGGCAGTGAGAATAGGCTGGTTTTTTATGGGAATGGTAGGTAACTTATTAAGCTGCTGCAGGGTAGTTTTGGATGCGAGTATCCTATTTTTGGCATTCTGTGCTCCTACTTGCCTGTGACCTTATCAACCATACCAATATTGTCAACTTGTGGCGCAATAGGTTTACCTTGGATCACCCCAACTTGAATTACCCCATTAACATTTTTTTGCCCCGTCACTGTAGTTGTAAGTGACTGCCCTTGATCACCCTCATTTCTCGTATGTTCTTGTAAATTCTCTTGACGACTAATCTCAACATGACTTTGTGAATCACAAACATTTATATGTTCATAAAAATTGATATCAAAACTGACCCTGGCATTTTGTCGAACAGATGGTATGTGTGATTCTGTATAAACTTTGTTCTGCAAAGTTGTAACTAATTGCTCATCGTGGTTGTTGATTGAAGGGTCGGGATCATTGTCCAAATCAATTGGAGTGGCTTGGGTTAAGTTGTAACTAATTGCTCGCAAATTCCTGTTGTGATATTGTCTGATGCTTTGTTGGTTGATTGTAAATGGTGTGTTAAGCCATCTCCATGGCTTTGAATAGGTCAACTTAACCCAGAAACGTTGCAGTGTATCTCAGCTAAGTCGTGGCGATTTATTGGTGAACACACAGTTCCACCATTGTTGATTCGTTCAGCAGATGCAGGAAGAAATGATAGAGTCCCCTACCTGAGTTGTGTGTGTAGTGTATAGACGCAATTGTTGAGACTGGTCCGGTGGTCTTTCACCACCGGACGAGGGATCGGTGACCATTTTTGTCCGTTCAGTTATTGTTCCTCTTTGTCGCCTCTCTAGCTTCTTTTGTTGATTTCAAGATCTCTATTTCATATTTATCATTTGATGGTTAAATTTTCTATTAATTCAGTAAGTGATAGGTGTCACGACCCAAACCGATGGGCCATGACGAGTGCCCGAGCCTACCTGTCGAACATCCCTAAGCATACGTCTAAGATAAAACATGAAATAAGTGTAGGAAATGCATAATGTCTGGCAGTAAACTACTAAATTATGTGAATAACATACGCGAAAAAATGTGCCCAAAAGACATATGTACATATATATACGGAATACGGTAGGACGAGCCGACAAGGCCACATACTATTCGACTATACATGACTGTCTATAGGTCTCTAATAGAGTGTACAAATGTATAAAGGACGGGGCTGGGCCCCGTCATACCCATATATGTATACAAACATATCGTACCAAAATCCAAAAGCAACTCCAGATCAAATGGAGCACACTAACTCTCGCTGAGCAAGGATCCTAAGAAGGGGGACTGTCAACCTGTCTACCTGCACCTGCGGGCATGAAACGCTGGCCCCAGGAAATAGGGGCATCAGTACGAATAATGTATCGAGTATGAGGCATGCAAATCAGTACATAGAATCCGCCTGTAAGCCTAAATAACTTTGTGAATCCTGAAATATTTGTAATGTCATGCATGTGCGTATAAATGTCATATCATGCATAGGTATATGCTGTCACGCCCCAAACTCGGGGAGTGCGACCGGTGCTCAACTGAGTGAACTCGGCCAAGCAAACCTGTTACATTTCCTTCTACCCAAACTCATCCATGAATAAAGAGGAGATGCATTCCATAAATCAAACACTGAAAATATTTTATTAACAACTCCCATTTCATTCCATTAGCTACTTCATTCATAATTTTCAAAGTATTGCAAGTTTATAGATATAATGCAAAATATGTTTGCCAAATAGCAACATTTCTAGTTCAATTTCCAACATCATATACCACTCATAACCTATCTATGGAGCCTCTAAATATGACAGAAGAATAGTATAAAAGTGCCAGCAACAAGGCCCCCGCTATACCTCAAGACACAAAGTGTAACATCAAGTGACATCGGGCCTCGAATAGAATAGGGCTCACCAAAACCTGCTCTATAGGGAGTAACTGCTAACGAGGACCAAAGTTGCACCGCTGATGAATCACCTGCATCCATTGGAGATGCAGCAACCCGACAAAAGAGACGTTAGTACATATGGAATAGTACTAGTATGTAAAGCTAACTGTCCTCTTTCAAAATAGAATACCAATGTAAGAAGGGAAAATCCATGGAAACA